ATCTCCTCCTTTTTATTGCCTATTTTAGATTCACTGCACTCCATTGTGACAAAATCCCTTCGTGCTCTCACTTAATGGTCTGTTTTACAACCAGACACGAGTTGCAAGCATTCATCTTAAAGGTGCAACACTCACCAAGCCACAGAAGTGTTTTATCTAACTGACTTGGATTTACATAAACCTTTAGACAGCAAGTGTTTCACCTCTGAACTTCTTAGTTGAAAGATGAGATTACGACTGTTTTTCTTTTTGAAGAGAAGTTTGGATTTTCAGGTTTTCTTCTGTACGTATGAACCAAAGTGTAACTCTTTGTTTTTTTTCTTCCAGCGCTTTACCCAGTGTACCTGCTGCTTTCATTGATATCTTCTTAACCAAAGCAAAAATGTTCAAATTTGATTTCTTTTGTTTCTTTTTTAATTTATCCCTGTGATTGTTCTGATCTTTTTCCACTATATAATACATTTGGCAACACATTAAATGTAAATTTGTCAGATTGCTTAATAATTATGTTTCATCATATCAAGTTTGGTTTCAAATATGCAGCAACAGATTTTAAATAGCAAAAATTCAAGTTGTGGGTGTTTTGGGGCTTTTTGTTTTGTTTTTTTTCAAACAGTTGAAATGTATTATTTGTGGAGGAGTACAACTAAGCAATACAGCAAAGCTGTGAGTTTGTGTTTAGAAAAAAAAAAGTGTGTGGGACGATTAAAGAACAATGACAGGAGCTTCAAGTAGACAAATGAAAAGCTTTTGTTCTTGTCTTTTATTCAGATGTTTGGATTTCTGGAGTAACACATCTGTGGGTATCATTTTTGTCATCACACATTGTTATCCACTGTTTATTATACTGACTCATTTTTAGTTTTTAAAGATTTTGTCTTTTTTTCCCAAGAATTTTAAGAGAAGAAGAAGTTAATAAAACATAATCAGAAATTGATAATTAACATGTCTCTTTCCCTCTTCTTAAAGATAATTCCTCCCTCCAGGTGTCACGGTGCTCTTATCTGTAATAGAAGAGCCTTTTCTCTAGAAATCAATGTTGCATGTCTCATTCAGTCCCTGATTTTCCACTCATGGCAGTCCTGGCACTCACTGAATAATGACCTGCCTGTAGTGAAAGGCCTCACGGGGCTGCACTAGACAGATCCAAGAAAGGCTCGGGTGAATAATTGGCTGATGAGTAAATGAGTCTTTAATTGCCTGGTGTGTGTGGTTTTTTTTTCCTCCTCTGAGTTGTGTGTCAGGATGGGCTTGTTATCATTTATGCCAAGAAAGGTTCAAATGATGTGTTTTAATTAAACCAGTACAAGGACTCAGGTCTGTCCCAGCCTCCCTCACTGTCTGCCACCATGTTGCATTGTAGGGGAAACAGGGACAGATGGATTGTAAGCTGTGCTTCCCCCGTCCTCCCCCCTGAAAACACACACACACACACACACACACACACACACACACACACACACACACACACACACACACACACACACACACACACACACACACACACACACACACACACACACACACACACACACACACTTGTGCCAGCTCTCTTTCAATGGACTACATAAACAATCTGGTGTCCCACTCAAATGCTTTTACGGATTAAAAGCAGCTGCAGTGGCACATCTTCCTGCGTGAGGCAAAGTTAGTGCAGCCTGACCTACTGCATCAAACGCAACCACCAGCCCCCCACACTCAAATGCACCGACTTTCACACAGCCCTGAGCACAAAAACTCTTTCATGTTGACATGTATCAGAGGATTGTGGATGTTCTGGCTCATGAATCAAAGAGCTGCCATTGAATGTACTGAAGTAGAGAATTGTTGTGAGGTGCACATTTATATTATACTGTGTATTAAATTGAGAGATGTAAAAACTTGTACAGTACTGGTCCATGAATTTCCATCAGATGCCGATATGGACTGGTTTAACCGTATAATGAAGAGCATAAAGGGTCTGGATGAGTAATAGCTGACAGGAAGTGACTGTGATGCTTGCAAATATATAGGGACATACAATAGGGAAACTAGTGCAAATATGAACACAAAGTCATTGTTTTTTAAATCTCTGGTCTAAGTTTTTGTTCTTCACCAATTTTTTTGTTATTTAAGTACTCAATAAAACATTAATTAAGAATAATATATCTTGATTAATCTTTTGGCATTCTTAGCCCTTCATCTCTTTCATGATATTTAACAACACACTGAATGCATTAATCTAAAGAATAGTACTTCTAATGTGAATACATTTTTCACTTTCTTATGTCATAACTCACTATATGCATACAAAGACACTAACACAAAATAAGATTCAAACAATGCAGAAATTATACACATTCTTCCATGTGGATGGACTATACTTGATTGTAAACAATGAGGTCCTCCTGACATTTGTTTAGCAGTCACCTAATGTATCTGAAATTGTGTTTGTAGGACATTTACCACAGTACAAAAGCTCTCAAATGGCTCTCAAGCTCATTTGATTCAGACCTGATAACAACTAGTAATCAGCCACTAATATGGTACATGATGAGCCCAGACAGAGACACGTTTGTACTGAATATCTGCAGCCTAGAGACAGCCAGGGAGGCTGTCACAAATAACACAAAGTAGAATGCGGAGAAAACACAACACTTCTATAATATTTTGAAGCTTAATCATTCAGGGAGTCGCCAGCATGTAGGATGAGCTCTGGCCTCTAATGAAACGGTGTCTCCAGCATTCAAAAGGAATTGCAGCTTCCTCACATAGGTCAGGAACATTAAGTGGTAGACAATATTTCCTTCTTCAGTCTTTGCGATGCATATTTATTTGTGGCTACCCAGCATGCCTGCTGAGTTTGTATATTGCTTTTGTTTCTCATTACCATTCGTGCAGATCTTTTGCCCTGTGCATTATGTATATCTCACTGATGTTTGTCTGCTGTCTTCTTTGTGGTCCATGGTGGGTTCTAATGTGCTCCCGCCCTTTTTGTTGTTTTATTTTTTGTGCTTGGACTCTCAAGCACAGAGCTTTTTCTATCAAATGTAATTGCATATTCCTCTAGCAATACACGGTATATATAACTGAAATTAAGTTTTTTGTGTTTTTATGTCTATCCCTGAGGTGATAGGCCATCTATTCGTACCTGGCCTGCATGGCTGTGCTCATGCTGATGAACTTCGTAGTCACATAGGAAAACAAGCCCTGTCTTTGCCCTTCATGCCACCTGTTGAAGCACGCTCACTGTTATCATGTCTCCCACCCTCCCCTCATTACCCACAAAGTAGATGAAGCTCATTGAGTGTAGACTTTCTGAGTACACAGTCCAGCTGTTAGCAGGAAATCAAATTTAATCAAACGACTATTAAGCTGCTATAAAGGCCTGGTCCCACCTTTTGCAGACCAATAACAGTGAAACACATAAAAATGGAAAGTGAGGAAATATCATTGACGGTGGTCATTGAAAATACTGGAAGCCCTCCACCAGATAAACTTGTCATACAGTGCAGAGAGGTTCCATTGATTTCATTATAGCACGTACCCAAGTAAAACTGCTGCTCTATAGAGTGAAAACTGAATATTGTGGAATTATTCCACTGACTTTGCAAACGAATATACATGTCTCATTAGAGCCTGAGCTACAGAGCCTTTTAGGGGAACTGAGCTGTGTGCAGACAAACACTGAGTGGTTCTAACCCTTTTTGGTCTGTGACCCCTTAAAATGGTTAAATATCTGCTTATGACCACTTATCACTTAAGTTGTGAGCTTAACCAAAGACAGATTTTGCTTTTCAAATTGTTTGATTTGAAGGGTTTTTGGACACCTGAAAAGGTAAAAGTTCCCAGCGTTTCGCTAGGAAATAGTAAAGATTAGAGAAACATTCATTTGTTCAATAGAAATATAGTATTGCCCCTTTAAATAAATTGTGGCCAATTTGATTTATCCTACGACCTCTTGGCAGGTGCTAACCTCCAGGTTGGGACCCACTGAATTAGGACATTGGAGTGACTTAAAAGAATTTACTGGGGACTTACTTTTTAGCTTTACATTAAACCATATCCAGTAAATGCTTAACCCCAGCACTGATCTTCTTAACCTTAATGAGTGACGATGAGCTTTTCGTCTCCAAATAGAGTCCCCTTCATTTCACACACACACACACACACACACACGTTTGTTTTATTCTTCTCTTTGTTCCATTTTGTGAGGCCTCTCCTACGCTAACTTCTGTGAACAATGCTTTGCTCTTTGATTTTGTCATTATTATTTCATCTTTGAGTATCAACTGAGACGACAGGGCTCTTTGATTTTTCCACTTTTATTGAGTTGTGGTTGAGCCTGTTGGTTGCATCTGTTGAAACAATGAAGCAAACTCAACTGAGACGTTTATAATATGTAAAACACACACCAGAACCTTAACACAACACAAAAAAAAGGAAAAATTGACTTGTTTTCTTTCATTTGGATTGCGTGTAAAGCAGTACATTTCAACACTCTAGATTTTATGGATAAGAACAATGTCACCTGTTTAATGGTGCTGAATGAGGGTGAAAGTCAATGGCTTGTAAAGGAACGTTCCTTAAATTTATGTCTGTTGTTTGTCTTTGAATTCCTGGAAAAGGGTCTGACCAGCGCAGCAAACCCAGTTTCAGGAAACGAAGGTCGTGACTGCTGCATTCAAGTCAGCAGAAATGTCTTCCACTCAGCAAAATAACTTGGGCTTCGTCCAGAACAACCTCTGGTCCTTTTATTGATAATGTCAATCCTAACAGGACTGAGCATGTTGTCTATCATGGCACAAGGGTAAAAAGACAGATGCAGAGCTGCCTCCTCTAGAGTTGTTTGTGTAGTCAGATAGCTGTGCTTTAAAACTAAAGCAAAGTATACAATGGATATACAAAACATCACAAAAGAACTACAATAATTAGCTGTTAGAAATTATATTTTTCTCATTGTGGTTGCAAGGGCGTTCATTCAAACATAAGAGGGAATCAAAAACACAGGACAACCAACATAATAATGATAATAATTTATTTTATTCAGGTAGAGGAAGAGTCTTTGGCAGTGAAGAACACAGGTACTGAGGGTGATTTAATGAGAACATTTTAAAGTGAAGTGCTGCATGGAGATAAATGATTGGGCCATTAACTTTAAGTCCAACAGTGAACCACTTATCCCAGGGGGAACGTAATATCAACCAAGGAACATTAAGTGGCTGCACAAACATTTGATCGTGGCACAATAACATGACGTAAGATCTGCAGGAGTGACTAATATCTGACAGAAAGAAAAAGAAAAAAGACTGAGTGTTTATCTGAAAATGTGTGGCTGTTATGTGACAGGTGATAAGTGTTGGTGATGTTGCTGTGAAACTCCGATGGTGCTAGAAACTGAGGAGTGCACCCATGAGACAAACAGATGGGTGTTTACTGTGTGAAGAGGTGATTGGCTTTTGTGTATGTAATAAAGTGTCCCTCAGTAAACATTTCCAAATGTGTCACAGTAAAATCTGGCACTGGCTTTTTTTTTTTATTATATATATTTATATATATATATATGACACTGAATTTGTTTAACATTTACTTTTAAAAGAACTCCATCACTCTCCAATCTGGGATACATTTCTGGCCTGAAGTGTGTTGCAAAAACATATAAAAAGCAACAATTACAAACAAAAATAGTAATTCATTGAAGTGAAGAGAGAGAAAACCACTTACAGAGTGGCTCACTCATTCTTCCATATTCACATCCCATTGGCATCTGCTACCAACTGACAAGTGCAACTCTATAGTTCATATAATGAAGGGCAAAGAGGTACAAATATGCATCAGTTTGAGACACTTTGCATGGTGTTTTCCATCCCAAGATGTCAGTCCCTCATATTCTCTGTCTTCGAATATCTTCTTTCTTAGTCTGAAAGAGCAAGAATGTAAGGGAACGTCTTTCTGAATTAGAAAGCAGCACAAATATCATCTCGACACCCTAAAGATCGGGCAGCTAAGGCCATTTCAATATTCGCCAAGGACTTGTTAAAACCAAGTAATGGAACCAATCAGAATGCATCAAACCGCATTCGTCACACAGCTCATAATATGAGTGGGGCTGAACACACAGTGCACACCGTGCACGAGCTGGACATGGCAGCTAAACATGCCCAACTAGGGGAAATAATGACATCACAGCTCCTGTCAATCAATGAATCAATATCATTCAGAATACTGTCAGAAGCCCATTCATTCATTGATAAAGGCAACAGGACAGGACACTCAGTCCACCATCAATCTTCTCTTTCTGCATTCATCACACTTCTATCAACAGAAAAGTAAATATTCATCTACACAGACGTCACAGGACAAAAAGAAGTTTGTTCAATATCAGAATACTGTTGGAGGTCAGGAGTTTGGCTGCTCCCATAACATGTGCAAAAACCTGTTGTTGTAAAGAGTGGAGGCCACATGGGGTCGCTGTTTTACTCACAGCATCACCACTCAAAAGTCAAGTCCCACTGACACAGCAGTCACGCTACACATCCATGTTCCATATTAAGGCTGGGCAAAGGGTTGAAAAAGACAAGAGGGGATGGCACAGTTCAGGGTGAGACTCAGCTGGTGAGATAAGAGTCAAAGTGGAGCTCTTGAGTCTCATTGGCAGTCCTCCAGAGCTCCTCATCCACTTATCCATCCAGCCTCTTCATCTAAAACCCATAAGTTCACATCACGTCCGTGCCCTGCATTGTCCTGGATTAGTGGTGTAAGGGCTAACAGCTGGGTTCCTGCAGTCCAGGGTCACAGCGTGACCTTGCTGAGTCTAAGCGACAGGCTTGAGCGGTGCTGGGTGCGAGGGAGTGTGGAGCTACACCGGCTTCGAAGCTGGACTGCCCGACCCGCTGAGCCCCGCACCCGCAGCAGGAAGTCAAAGTTAGCTGAGGTGTTCATGGCGTAAAAGACGTTGGCGTTGTCAGGGATCACCAGTTCTGAAAGAAGATAAAGCAGAAATGATGAGCACGATTTAAGCTCTCTGTTATATTACACTAATAGACTTTTAGTCAGCAATACATGGGTCATTGTGGTTCATTACATTTGGAAAACAGCTGTTCAGTGGGAAGAAATAATGCAATTAAAATGCTGAATTGCAAATACAAAGGGTGTTTAATCATAGCTTTTACATAGTAACTGCTGCAACAGCTTCTCCTTACTCTATTCACTGTAAATACCTTACTAGGTGCCTTGGAATAACCGTCTATGACATATATTAGTTGAGGCAAATTTGCACAAGTTTTAACAAGAACCTCAGAGGTTCCATGAAGAAAATAAAATTTTAAAAGTAGAGCCATGTGTTTTATACCTCTCTCCTCAGAGATGACTTGTACCAGCTCGTATCCCTCCTCTGGCTCCACCTCCAGGTTGTGCTTCGCCATGGCTCTAGAAATTACAGCTGGAGTCTTGTCTTGATTGGTCAACTATTTGGGCAATAAACAAAAAAAAAATCTAGTCATACAGGGTTTAACGTATATGATGTAAAAATGTAAACATTGATTTCACTCACACAGGAAGAAAAAAACACATATTTATTTACCAATATGCTCTTGTAGAGATTCCCGTTGCCGTGCTCCAGACTGACTCTTATGATGCATGCATCTTGGGCCTGGGTGTTATAAGCTGGGGTTTGACCCGGGGAGCTGGGGGTCAAGGGTGTGAGGGAGACAGAGCGTCTGTGGGTGCAGGGGGCCCCGGGGAGTGAGGGAGATGCAGGAGTCATGGAGACGCTGGCTGTCGACGAGCTGGTGTCCATGGAGTGGAGTGAAGTACAAGAGGAGGATTCTGATAGCTGTGGAAAAAATATAACCAGAAGTTACATACAGATACATAAAACCATAACTGGATCAATTTTGTTCCACAAATGCACTGAACCATAATCTGATTATAATTGTGATAATTTGCAGCTATTTGGGGTGAGTGGAAACATGACTTTGAAGTATTAGAACAAAGTGACACCTGCAGGGCTCAAAAGAGATCATCTGAATTGTTTTTCACATAAACCTCAAATAACAGCATTTGGCAATGTGTCAAAAACATTAAATGTGTTAGTGACAGCTCTTGGTTCAAATAAAGAATGGCTGGAAATGATTTGGTAAACTGAATCTTGTTATGTTTTTTTTGGCACTTGCTAATTCCACTTGTTTTATGCAATTTCTGTCTATGTAAATAATATTATTCCATTAACATGCTATGCTTTACATTGTACATCTTACTTTTTGTGCAATTTTACCAACTCAAACCTGTTATTATTTCAAAATATTTGGGGAAGGGTGTTGCAGTTTTTCTCTACAAAAGGAGGCTCCAAAAAATAGATTAATAACACTGAAAAAGGCTTGACTTTCATACCAAAGTATGACCAAAATTAACAAATTTTCTTAGTTTAATAACCCACCTTGTTCTGCTGGGAGTCGGAGGTGTGAGTGGGGGTGAGGCCCTCGCTGTCTGATGGGCTGCTGGAGTCGCTGGAGGACACACTGACTGAGTCCATGCTCTCCCCTGAGCTGCCAGTAGGAGGCGAGCGTGGCGTCTCTCTGACTGGAGAACTGGCTGCATTACTGTCTGTTCCAAGAAACAGCCTGGAAAGAAGAGGAAGTCAGTTATTAGATAATAAAATAAATAGGTCACAGCAAGTCAGTGCTTGAATATGCCAGTGTGACGTCTCTAATATGGCAAGTCTTCGCCAAAGAAAAGTATTCTTTACTTAATTTCATTTAAAACCAGGATTCTATTTTCTGGATGTACTCACAGGCTCAGTCTCTTCACCATGCTTTTCCGAGGTTTGGGTGAGGTTGGACTGCTGTCACCGAGACCTTCAATCTCACAGGACAAGGCATAGCTGCAAAACAGAATAGATAAGAAAGCTTAAACATCATGAAACATCACCAAACCATGTGCCCGGTGGTTTAGAGAACCATGAATTCTGAGTATGAGAGAAGAAAAGTCAGAGAAGAGAGGGGTACAACACAATAGATCAGTAGGGAGTGAGGACATGACAGAAGAACAGCAGGGAGAGGCAAAGAGAAAGGACAGAAAGAAGCTTCTTTTGTGTATTTGTTTTTAACAATAGGTCCAACAGACCATGACCTCATGCACTAATTTGTTCGTTATGTAATGGATAACAGTGCAATCGAGGTAGGAGGTATTCTGAGTAAAGCAGCACTACCTTTCTTCCTCACTGAGCTGAACCTGGCTCTTAAACCAGCGGAGGAATGCCGGCTCTGGACCCAGACAGTAGCTGTTACAGGCCGACTGGAGCAGCTTGATCTGAGCGATCACCTCAAACTCCTGCAGGGGCAGAGAGAAAGTTACAGACTTTAGATCTGTATAACAGTCAGCTGAACTCGTCGTGAGACAACTGTCATGATATAATCATGTCAGTGGAAGTCGCTTGCAGCCACACTCACCCTGCGTCTCTTCTCAAAGTTGATCAGACCACCCTGCGGAGGACACAAAGAGCACGCTGTCAGACCCTGGACATCACATACCAGTGGCTGCTTAGACAAACAGCATTAGGTGGACCACTCCAAAAACGGACCGACAAAATTCCTCACGCACTCATGGAAACTTACGCCCCAGTTTCTGACAGCGGTTACACAGATAGACTCTCAGATCTGCTGAGGTGTGTAAACTCGCAGACACATGCTCTCAAGTATCGAAACACACATTCAGCAGGTGTCATTCTTTTCTTACCTCTACTAAGTCTGGCAGTGCCGTATCCAACATAGTCAGGTCAGTTAGAAAAGTCCCCAAGTAGGGTATCGTTCCTTGCATTGCTCCCTGTAGAGAAAAGGCAGCTTTTTGATATGTTTGAAACCACATTTAGTTTAAATAAATACTTTAATGATGCCACAATAAAGCCGGAGACTAATTCAGACTGTGGTCCTTACAGTTTATAGATGCCAGTGTGGGTTTTGTCAAATACAACACAGGCTTAATGCAAGTACAGCACATAGTGTAAACAAAGCTAAGCATGTGGCTTCACCATACAGGAGAGGCTAGAACTCACTTTACAGTACATTGCTTTAGAGGAATGTGTTGTTTAAAATTATAGAGCGCTGTTTTAGCACTCTTTGACAAAAGATCCATTTGTTGCAGAAGCCTCACCATTTCCTTCTGCAACTGCAGTCTCTTGTGGGTGCGTTTCTGGTGCTCCTTGGCACAACTCTCCAGGCTGGCAAACTTTGAAGTGCCTTCCTGTAGCGCAAACATAAAATACAACTTCAGTCCTCGAGGTTCCAACCAGTGAATAAAGGAATGTTGTCTCACATGTAAGAGAGTAACATTTACGCACTTTAAAACCAGGATATTTAAGAGGATACTAAATTTACTCATTCATAATTTCACAGTTCCTTCAGATATGAAATAAATGTTGAAGTTAGAACTCACCCTCATGAGGAGCTCTCTGCTGGTCAGGTAGTTGTTGTGGTCAGAGAAAATGTCCGACAGTTCCTCAAATGTCTGCATGCTGTCTCTGTGTGTCAAGCAAAGACTCATGTTATCTAATGGTTATAGACATATCAGCTACAATACACGAGCAAAATAAACATCTCGGAGATACTGTTGAATTCTGCCAAAGGGCTGATTCTTCTATTGAGACTCACTGAGATTATCTGCATAGTTGAGAGATTGGAAGCTTACTTGTGCACACAGGCCCATGCCCTTTTCAGCCTGTACAGAGGGTTGGACTGCAGCGCAGATACGATGGCTCTCAGAGACGAGAAGTTTTTGCGTATTCTGCACTCCTAGAGAAGACAAGTAACACAAGGACGGTCATAACGTGACCCATTTTTGTGGTAGGTTTATACATGAATGTGTATGGGTGTGTTTCTGCCAACCTGAGCGATGTCTATCCAGCGCTGGATGACCCGCGCTCTGACGTGTGGTCTGATCTGTCTGTGCTTCAACACTGTGCTGACCACACAGGCCGCCACAGCATTAAACTGTGTAATAGTGGCACGAATGGTGGGGGCGCTGTGCTTGTTGTGCTTCTTATCCCTCTGGGACCAGATAGAGCCCAGGCAGTGGTGGGGTACGACCTTTTTAAACAGCAGCTAGAACAGAGGAACAGGCTGATGTTAGTATGACGACACTGATAAAACATTGCAGGGATGTAACCTGCGTAGGCCTTCCCTCATCACACTGCCATTTTATCTCATTTCCTGCGACTTACTGCATCCATGTAGGTCAGCTGCTCGGCCACCAGCTCGGACTCAAACGACAGGAAGTCCTCCTGGACCTCAATCTCCACTTCCTCCTCCTCCCCAAGACAGAAAGAGCTGTTGCCGTGGAAACCAGCTGCAAGCAGACAAAAATAGATGATTTGAGGCAGAGAAAAACTAATACTTAAGATGAAAAAATAAAAGTACTGTACAAAACAAAGAACTACATGTTAAAAAAGAGTTACCATCAGTTTCATCCATGTTGGCCTGACTCTGCAGCTGCTCCAGCAGACCCTCTGCCCGTCTGAGAGCCTCCGAGCCAGGCAGGGCCCTGCGCAGGTAGTCCATCAACCTGTGGAGACAGGGGTAATCAGGGGGCTCCTGGAAGTCTTCAGGGCACTGGTCCAGCCAGGCACGCAGGATAGAGGCCAAAGCACTGTGGAGACAGCAGGGAAAGATTTGGGAGTGTTAAGAGAGCTGGCAATGATAAGAGGACAGGTGTGCTCAGTCAGTTATACAACTTAAAGTTACAAAAACTTTGATGTTGATGTGATCTGTTGAAAGTAGTCCATATGGAACTGATCGCAATGAATATATAAAAATGTATCTCACTTTCTGATGGCTCTATTGGTTTCAGTGCCTTTGCATCTCTCTGTGTCTTGCTCATTTTCTTCCACACTTCCATACCTGCGACAGAAAATAAAAATAAATCAGAAAACCACTAAAATGTAAAGTGAATGCATTCTTTTGGCTTGATCCAACACCTGGCTCCAGCCCTACCTGTCTAGCAGTAGCTGCAGTACAGTCTGTGTGCTGGTGAAGGCTCTGTAGGTGGACAGGAAGATGGAGGTGTAGGTGAGGTCGTTGTCTCCAAACGCTGTCAATAACGTCTCCACCAGACGCTCCAGTGTTCCAGCACGGATACTTCGGATTTTGCAGGTCTCCAGCTGGCTCACCGTGTGTCCAGGAGGTAGACGATCCCCCTCAGCCTAAACACAAACATATTTACTGTTAAACCAGTGTGCTGCTATTATGCACTGCAGCCACTTTGCTGATGTTTGCAAAGCTTTTCTTTGCTTTGTTGCTCTTTGGAGTGTTGGCACAGATTATTATTTTTAATGTGTTGGGATGTCTTGGTTGTCATTTCCCACAGTCTGTAATAGAACAAAACTTAATTTATGTTGTATTTACCGGTGTATGTGCTATTTTATTCATAGTTTGTGGCCCTGTTTTGTCCACTGTGTTATTTTACTTAGGTCAACTACCCAAAATAGTTTTGTTCTCTTTGCTTTGTTACCTGTTCTTCATTGATTTAGTGCAATATGTTGTTTTGTGTTGCATTATGCTGTTTATTGCAGGAAAACTTTTATTACAGAAAAAGAACAGAAAATAAAATTGTTTTATGAATCAATAAAGTTACAGTTTAAAATGTGAAAATTACAGGAGTGGAGGGATTCATACAAAAGATGGAGGGAGGAAACAGTAAGGACAATCATGACCTATATTTAATTTCTCCAGATGTGTCCGACTATTGTGTCTACAGGGAAATAGAATGAGGGGTTGGGACAGAGTAGAAGAAGTGGCGGCACAGACGTGCGGAGAAAGAGACCTTGGTAAAGTTAGCACGCTACAACAGGAAACGCTCCAATCTGCTTTTAATCACAGCAGGCCCCTCCTCCACCGTCCTTCCAGACAGAGAGGAGGACAGCAGCAGAGCCAAGTTCTCCCACCTCTCCCCCTCTGATAACAACTCAGTACACCACAAAATACCATTATTTATCTCTGTGAGGTGACTGTACAGTCACACACACACAGGCTAAGATTTTACAATGAATGAAAAATACTCAATCTGCAACCAACTACTCCACACACTGTAAACAATACATCACTGTAGGCCTACAACCCCTCTGATTGTAATTGCCATCACTCACTAACAATTGACTGTTCATAGAAGATATACTGATGCCTCAATAGGAATCACTCTCTAGTCTGTTCTACTCAATAGACAGCACTGTATAAAGTCCCCATGTTGTTTTAATTAGCTCGAATACAGTTGGCAGCTCATGCCGTTGTCAATATATCAATACAGTTTTAAAGCCTTAGAGCTATTATTTCTTCTTTCATGAGCCAATCCCCATCCCCCATGTCAAGCACAGAGAGACAACAAAGATACAAACAAACTAACAACACAAGATCACTGATTTTTTTTTCTTGTAGACAAAGGAAAGCCCCATATATCCCTTTTGTTATGCTGGGTTCATGCATTCCTTTAGTGAGAAAACACACAAGAGAAACTAACGATAATGCTCCTAATTGGCCCTTCTGTGCAGTATAATAATATACTGTATAACATCTTATTATGCTGGTATAAACAGCACAGTGGAGGGAACAGCAATGCCTCATATGCACTGAAAAAATGCACAACTCAAGAAAAAAGCCTTTAATACCCCCCCTTTTTTGTCATACCAGCGTTTTATAAAACACTGCTGTACAGGCGAGCGAGGAGTTTTGTTGGCAGCCGGGAAAGTCAGGAAATCGCACGCTTTAGCTAAACAGTCCAGGTCTGGTGAAACTGTTGATTTTCAGCAGGCAACTAAAAGGTGTTTTCTAAACTGGGAGATTTATTGCTCCAAATGTTAAAACAACAGCTCTGGTGGAGGACAATGCTGAAAGACGCCCCACAATTGAAAGATACAGTCTGCTTTAAACAATAGAGATTAGGTTTTCTGTTTTGGAGCTCAGCAGTCTGCACACAACTAACTGGGTTGCTTTTTTAAAACCATTTGCATATCATAAATTTGGGTTTAGACAGTGGAAAAAGCATCAGGTTTTCCTAAGTAGAATCAGTTTTGCTGATGGATTGTAGCTTGACTCGTCTCTTCTTTATAAAAAAGCTTAGTCAGCTGTGATTCTGTCACACTGGGAGACATCAGATGGGCCTACTCACCCCTAGCCATCTTGCTCCCTTGTTGGCTGCTTGCTGAATCTGAACCCTCTTCAGTGTCACATTGTAGATGGCTCCTTCCTCGACTTCCTCCCCCCAATCCTGCACCGAGCTCTGAAAGGAGAGAGCAAGAGGGAGAATGTTAGACAGCTCGAGATGAGAGGAGAGTTGCGTTTAGGATAAAAAAATATCTAAGAATTTCCTGTAAATAACTGCAGGCCACAGAGCTAACGTACACAACAAGTGTCATTTAATTTGGTTTAACAAAATAGGAATTGGCTTTTTTTGGGAAACTCTGAGAAAAGCAGAAGGAAGGATCAGAAAAAAAAAAACACAGAAACAGAACCACAGCACTCAAACTAGTAAAAGAAGGACTAAAGTGCAGTAAAACATCAAGAATGACCAACTCCCCAACCCCCACCTCTGCAGCCTGCCAGGCCTCCCTCCCTGTCTTTACTCCCTCTTTTATTCCCTATCCATCTCTTTCACCGTGTCCCAGTCTCTCTGGAGCTGAAGTCAGAGCTGGACTGCTTTCCTGGAGCTCAGAAAAGTGGAGATAAGAGCCAGAATGGGTGAAGTCTCTCAAACAACCACCCCCATTTGCATCACTTGTTCTCTCTGTTGACATGTCTTTGTCTGTTTGCCTGTCTGATTATACAAGCCAAGAGTGCTTGATTACAAATCTGTGCCTTGAGAGCACAACCACACTTAATGCAGCACGCAAGACTCCCCATATGTACTATGTCTGTCTCTGGTTGTAAATCACTGACAAACAGCAGAGAGCGTAAACACACACAGAGAAAGCAGAGCAGAGTGAATTCAAAATACAAAATTCAGAGACAGTGTGCGCAAATACAGCCTGGGATGTGCTGAGACATCAACATATGGAGACAGAGACAAAAACAGAGGCAGAGACAGCAAAGGAGAGGGACTGGCCAAATATAAACACCACGCATGCAGTATTATGGCCAAGTCTTCACACACACACACACACACACACACACACACACACACACAAGAGGACGCAGTGGCCAAGATCACTCTCACTTGTCCCCACTTTCATTTACACAGCTCTATGGCAAAGTCCATGCTATTCCCCAAACAGAAGGGCTGCCAGAGAAGAGGTCAATGGGTCAAAGTCGCCGTTAACGGGCTCAATGGACGGTCGTGGAGGCCGGTGGCACGCAGCCATGACTGGGCCGTGTTTTGGTTTGAACAGAAACATGTGATGCAAAGATGAAAAGAAAGCCCAAACCAAAAAAACACAAAGGGGGGGGTTTAACTGGCCATGGCAGCTGAAACCAGCAAGCATGTGCCAAGATGCATTTGTCTGAAACATGACTACAACCCCCTTCCCCTACCCTGTTCAGCATCTTGTCTTACGGTCAGCAACCTAGTAAGTGCACATCTCTCTGCCTCTCTCTTTAGCCGCTGCTGGCTGCCGGCTGGATGGCTGGCGCAGAGACAGATAAATACATCAGTGCATGAGTCATGCAGTCCACACACTCCCAAAACAATAGCGGGAGGTCTCTGTGCTGGCCGGCCCGGGCTGCTGAGTTCACAGTCTGCACACACAGCCTGCTTTTTGTCAGCCGCAGAGCTGGAGATGTTTTCAGAGCAGGGTTTTAAAAAAAAGCTCTGCTCGCTTTGTGCACCAAGTTTAGGGCTTATTGTGAGACAAAGTTCCATGAGCTTGCATGAAAATGGAAACGAAAACAGTCTGCCACAGAAATGAATGAATCTATTCACCAGAGGTAGGAGGATAGGAACCATAACAGAGTAGATAGGGATGAGTATACAGGGAGTACAGTATATCAAATGACCCTGTGTACGGTGTAAACAGGAGATGAGTTGTTTACTCTCTGCACTTACTTGGGTCCTTCCAAAGGAGATGCTCAAAAAGTGTGCAGGGAGGACACTAAGGGGAGGAAAGAGGCAAATAGTACTCTATCTTTGCTCAAATAGTGCTAAGCTGCCAATCAACCTATCAGCTGTGTGTGAAACAATACTCCCAAGATAACAACAACAACAGTTGTGTGAAATCTTTGGCGCTGATCTGTTGGCTTTTGTGTTTTCCTCGCCTGGACGCAGCTGGGACCCGTGGAGAGGCAGGGGCCTCGCCAATTGTTCCCTCTCTGTTTCACTGCGGGCCCCTAGACAAAAGTTTTTATATCCACCATCAGAGAGGGGAAAGCTAGCGGATCGAGTTCATATTCTGGCGGAGTCGGCAGGGGATTTTTTGTTTTATCCTCACGTTTTGCAACTTTGCGCGACGTCTTTACGCACCAACAATGTAGGTTAAACAGGATTTAAAGCCTGGTAAAAAACAATTAAAACGCAATGTTCAACTGCACCCCCCCTGTTCCCCCTACTCCCCCTCCTCTTCTTTTCCCCTTTATCCGCTACTTTCCCAAGCCTACAAACACACCCCTCCTTTTTCTCCCCCCTTTCCCTCTTCAGCCTCCCTCCTTCTCTCCCTCAGTTCAAAACCACAAACCCAACAACAGGGCACAGGATGGAAAACCATGAGTTTTTTTTGTTTAGTTTCTTTTTACCATTTTAGTTTTCCAGGCGAATTTCATGGTGAGCGTTTCTTTCATGATCCGGGGACAGCATCAGAGCTTGGGAATAATCCGCCACGGAGAGAAGAAGATGTGTTCCTTTTTTTTTTTAAGAAATCCCAGATCCTCGCTGAAAATTTTCTTCTACTTCACCACACACACTTTCGTCCGCTCCAAACTCCAAATCCTCCTCCTCTGTCTGTCAGTAGGCTCTCCCTTCTTCTACTGAATGACCAAACCCCTCCTACTTGCACTCACAACAGTCCCGTTTAAACTCCTCCTCCTCTCTTTTTGTCTGACTTTCATCAGACTGACAACAATGTGCGCGCACGGACGCAGGCTTTCTGTTTGCGCAATACACCAATACGCAAGAGTCATAAATCTCCTTCCGATTAAATTCATAAGACTCGTGACTGTTTTTTCTAGTTTTGTTTATAGGGGTTTATTTGTGTTTTTCTTTTAAGTATTGTTAAAAAAAACAAAAACTTTAAAATCCCTTTATTTCCATGTTGTTGCTGCTATTTATCTTTAGAACAAAAGTGTTTCTGAAAATCAAATGGAAATGAATCCTTATGATCTGCACCATATACAGTAATATACAGTATTTGTATTCTTTATTTTTGCATATGTGTTTTAAATAACGTTTGTTTAACTTCTTACAATAAGGGGAAACACAAAAAAAGGTGTATTGTAGAGAACAAAATGTGTTTTGGACTGTGTGTGGGGGGGGGGCTAATATACCCTCTAGAAGAGATGAGCAGGCTACAGAGGTCTGGTAAGCGTAACTTGTCATATGTACAGAAACCCTTTGTTTATATAACAACACAAAATCAAACTGTGTTAATACCTTGTTAGGTGGAGGAGGAGAAAGGCCTCCAGACTACTATATGTACACTGTGCATCTGTAAGGTTCAAGTTCAAAGGCCCTTCGCCTTAATTTCTTCTTCTATGGTTTCACTATAAATTCCATTCACCTGCCCACACAGTTCCCCTGAGGGACAGATAGGAGTCATTTTATGCCTAATTAATATCATAGTCGAGTGTCATTATTTAATTGTGTATATTTTGGTTCCAACAATGTTTTGTCCATCTTTACCCGTCACCTGGTACTCAGAAAGTTGGTTTTAACAGTTAAGCTGTGCTAGCTTAAAATGGCAGGTCCCTTTGTACAATTCTCCTGCTTATTTGTCATTAGTTAGGTTTCCATATAAATGTAGCACAAATGTTAGTCAAATTTCTAGAAAAAAACGTCAAAAGAAAGCATTTCCATCCTCTACCAATGGAGAAAACATCATGGAAATGTGTTATTTCTGTTTTTGTTAGTTATTTGAGGAATGTCACGTCTCCTTATTGCTCCACATATTGCATCAAATTCTTCATGTACGCCATATTGCGTTTTCTTGGGGGGGCTTATTTACCTTAATTTGATAGCAACAGCTGGAGACTGACAGGAGAGAGGGGGGAGGACGACATGCAGCAAAGGACCACAGGTTGGGATCAAGCCCGGGCCGCTGTAGTAAATGGGGCATACACTCTACCAGGTGAGCTACCATGCATGTTATGATTTATTCATTAAGTCTGTTTCCATTGCACCTTGTTGCATTGCTTTTATGGATAAACCAACTTTTGGTTGAAGCAAAATATTCACAGATTTCTAGGAACTTTCAGCGATTCCACTCAGATCTTTTCATGCACAAATGAAAAATACGTGGTGGACTGAAACGCTCTGACTGTCAGAATCAACATTAACATACAGATTTTAATATGAGTGTATGAAGTGATGCACTGTAGGCCCTAACTGTCTTGTGTGTGAAGCAGCTGCAGCCTCACGGCCCCTGCGTGGGACAATACAAGGAAGGCTGGAGATGCCGTCACCAGTACTGTGCATTGTCAGTGACAGGAGAGTAGAATAGGCTGAGTGTGAGAATGGGCAACACTGTTCCACTGTGAATGTTCCTGCACACGTACTCAAACAGCCCACTTGTGTGAATAAACGGGAAGATATGAATCAAGCCTCGACTAAGTGGGGTCTTTTTGTACAAAACTGTATCTTAAACATATATCAAGTGTGACCAAGCGATGGTTCATACATTTTGCTAATCCATTTAGTCGGCTGATGAAATAATTAAACCACTGATTCAGGGTCAGGAGACAGTGGAAAACGTTATGATCCTTATTGTCATATTGCTCAGTGGGAGAGCTGTCTCGACCTGTCGTGATCTGCCCTTTTCAACATGGTGTTTGTATGTGTGTATGTGATATACCCACCCACTCATCTGGCTCCCATAACACCAACACGTAACCCCAACGTCACACTCAGCGTCACTGGCTGTCACACACCACGCTGTCAAGCAAGGTGCACACACACACACACACAGATGCACCCACACACATATGGTCCACACTTTTGGCATATTTGCTCCCTCCCATCTTTGCTTGGAGGGCAACGGAAGGCCAGGAAAGCCCAATGTACGTCTCCATCAGCTTTTCTCGGTGCGTGGTAGCCATATGTTTTAACAGTGTTTCTTCTTGCTGACTGTTCATCAGGCTGCA